TTCCCCAGCCAGCCATGCTGGCTGGGGGATTCTGGGAGTTGAAGTCCACTCATCTTAAAGTAGCCGAGTTTGGACAACACTGCTCTAGAGAGAAGTTCCATAATAAAGATGCTGCAGCAGAAAAGCAGCCCTGCTAGCCTCAGCTTCTCTCACACCATGGGGGAAGATGAAGATGAATAACACAACAGCAATGTAAACTTTGTCTCGTAGGTGTCCTATGAGCCTAGTTGAAATGAAATGTGCAAAAATTTGACATTTTCTACATAAATTTTCTTCAGTTAAAGCAACAGCGCATAACCATTTAGAAAATAAAACCAAGACAAGAACTTGTGCAGTGATTTTGGTTTTCAACGTCACAATCAGTTATGTTCTTTTTAATTCCTCAAGATGCGAGTAAATGAGTTCCAGAGAAGATTGTAACAACTGGCAATTCAGAATTTGTAGCTTGAAGTCATAGGTTGGCCTGTAATAATAATGCAAGTGAAAACAGGTTCAGAAATACAGACATTAATTTCTCATCTTCTTACAAGCCATGGGAATTTATTAACCCAATTTATCCATCATTATATAATCTCCAGAAGAACTATGTTAGTATTTTCCCCTGAAACTTTTCTTTAATGACTTCCAACCAGGGCTAAATCAAGCAGTTTATGAAGGTTATAGCGGTCCCCACATTAAACCATATGCAGAAATTAATTGCACTAGAAGATTAATCTTATTTCAACACTGAAAATGGGAGAGTTTCCTAAATCACATTTGAAGTAGCAGATTAGTTCAAAGTATGTGGCACAGAGACCTCTGTTCTCCAATATCCCATCAATGGTGGCCTTTCTCTAGACCCTGATGCTTTAATAGTCACCCTGTCTTCATAAATTTACCTCTGAGCAAATATGGCTACAATGTTTTAAAAACTTTCCTGAGAGCAATCTACATTTAAAATAATGGGGCTGCTTTTGAGTAAACATATATAGAATCATACTGTATAATCTTTTCTTGGGCAAACCATACAAACCAAGCAGCACTTTTTTCAATACTGTATAGATAAACATGAATTGTTAAATTTATTCCAAACAATCAGCAGGACTATGCATTTATTTACATTATTTATAATGTGCCCAGAAAATTGCCAAGGGACTTTTGTATTTGACAGTATATCAACTTAGTTAAATAAATGAACAAAGAAATGTTGTCTGGACAGATGAAAAATGAAGGAATGGAAGAATGAAAACACAGTAAAATGATTATTTTTCAATAATGATTAGAAAAAGAAAAGAATTCCTGTTTATGTATATCAGAAAGGTAAGGGAGATAAGATATTCTCCCCCATTTGTTTTTGCTTTTGCTCATGTGTCCTTAGAAGTGTTCTTTCAGAAATGAAACAATAATATGCAATTCGTTTTTAGAGGCCAAAGTGAATCCCAGTGCATGCCCAATTGAGCAATTTTGACCTTTCTTGTAGTTATTTACTGATTTCTCAAGAAGTTCTGAATGATTATACATGCAGAGATACAAGGAAGGTTAGGTCTAGATTACTGCGTCCCTTTCAGGCTGATAAGAAAGGTGAAATTGGTATTTGGTTTGTTCAAACTTTCTAAATTATATTTGTTATGCAAATACCAGTTTGACTCACTTCTTGTTAGTTTTCTTTTTCAGAACATTGGGAAGTTATCTGAAATGTTCTCAGTGAGGTGAACTTCTGTTGCCTTTAGGTTAACAAAAACAGTGAGATACTAGCTGTCTGTTTATAGCATATATCCAAAGAAACTTGGGTAATACTTCAGGATATTTGTAGAACATTGAAATACACAATAATTATCATTTTTTTTTAGCTCACAGCCATTACAGGATTTAGATCTGGAATGGAATCCAAGGTTGACTTTAGTAGCCAAGGCAGGAAGTTGTGAGGAAACATGCACATGCATAGAACTGCAAGCATTTATTATACAAATTTAACATATTACTGTTGGTCACACAGTCAGCCAGACGTTTAGATTGGATTTGGCATTTTTATCCACTTATCAAGTCCTTCCCAAGGACTTGGGATAGGCAGATGTTGTTCGATGGTGTTAAAAGTACTGTTGCAGGATGTAAGCTGTTCCAGGTAAAGCTGCCTTTTGCAATTGACTGATGGTGCTATGTATGATATGTGAATCCAAGCATCTGGGGCAAAGGTTTTTCCCAAGTTTTAAAAAATCTTTGATGATACAGTACTGTATTATTTAAGCTGTTCTTTATTGGTTTTGCTTTAGATAATTGTTTTGCTTGTTCAGTTGTTGCCATTTTCTAAGTCACCCTGGATAGGCTAGACATTATGAATAAAAAAAATCCATTTCAGTTATAATGAAAACATGAGGGTATGGAGGCAGAAGATATGTCAAATATCTGAAAGACAGAGGTGATGAGTTTATTTACTTCAGTAGGTGAGCACAAACTACTTCCGCTTGGGGTTGGTAATTTGTGGACTGGGATACCATTTTTGCAGTTCCTATACCTTTCTATTCTATTCTGAAATTAACTCGATTGAGGCCAATGAGATTTACTTCCTGGTAAATTTGTACCACATTGTAGTCGTACAGTTATTGGAGGTGCTTTGGTATATTCATAAAAGGTTATTTTTAAAAAGTTCTTTATTCAAAAGAGATTGCAATGTATACTTTACCTTGAGCAGAAGATCAGTGAACTCTATTTGTTAAACAAAAAGCTGATGTGCTAATGTGCAGGGGGAAGATAATCAGCTCAAATATTTGTAGAATACATTCCAATTAGGTGAAGATAGGATCTAGAACAAATTCAATTGTTTGTAATTATTGATGCAGCAGAGGCAAACAGGGACAGGCCACATAAATAAATAATACAAAATGTCTTGGAAGTGAAATGGGAATAGTAAGTACAATGAATTAAATAAGGACATTAGGAACCAAAAATACAGGTAAAAAGAATTGCCAAAAATGGTTCATTTCCAAATGTTTCATTTTATCCCAATAACATAATATTGCTGTTGTATGCTAAGTCAAAACTGGGGCTAACACCCCATCCCTCCCTCCCCAAACAACACATTATTCCACATGGAGCAAGAAAGGCTCATTCTCAAACTAGATGAAGATGCACAATCAAAGCCCTATTTTTATTTGCACAAGGATTTATATTTTTCCTTCAGAGAAATGTAATCTCAGGTATTTTTGTTCATATCAAACCCTTGTGGGTCTACAAAATCAACAGGGAGCAGAGCAGTCTGTACAGTGTGCTTGCATTATTCTTGCATTACTGTACCTGTATGAATAGGATTAAATATGATGGGAGCTCCAAGAAAAATCCTCTAAGCAATGTTATCTTTCTGACCCTTCCGTGTTAAGATTAACTTCTGAAGTGGGGAGTTGTGGTATTCATAATTTATATGAAAATTTGAATTCTAATATTAAGGGAAGTAGAGATTAAATGCTACAAGGAACTGTTGTTTGTACAGGAAGCCTCTTCCTTTATGTTATGTGGTACATGTAGTCCTCACAATCTCTTTGACCATATTTAACCTTTTAATTCTGTTACAGTGGCCAATTTTGGATCGTCTTCAGGAATTAGGGATGGTAATTTACAGTCAGTAAAAAGCTTCATTTATTTTTACAGAAGTGTCTCTTAAAAGTATAAGAATAGGCCTATGTATGCTTTAGAAGCTAAAAATGTCACTATATTTTGGAAGCTCACTAAAAAAAAATAAAACCAACCCCCTCTGCACCTCTATAGAAAATGGATCCTGGGGGATGTAAAGATTAGTTAATGACACAACTGATCAGGAACTAGTTTTGCCTTATGGAAAATTGCAAATTTCACTCCTCAAGTAGGTAACTGTGACAATCAACAACTTTTCAGACTTCTGGTGCATCATAGTTTCTCTCTCTTTTGTCTCCCCCTGCCCCCAGCATGTTGGAAGAAGGCAAATTTGTACAGGAAAAAATTTGGGGGAGCAAGAAAAGTGATATGGAACTAGAAAATACTAATGCATTGCTGTAACATAAAGGTAAGTTGAATGCAGAGATAATGGTTACTTAATGTTTGTGGTAAAATAAGAAGATAAGGGATTAAGAATTAATGAGTGAATGAATTTGGATTCAGTGACCCGGTAGCAAAGAAGTACAGAGTTGATTTGTTAATAGAGAAAATGAATGAGGATCAAATGACAACATACATGGATGAAGAGTGAATGGACTGAGAAAAAGAGGAAGACCAAGTAACAGGATAGAGCTGAGACCTTCAAAAAGAAAGATGAGAAGTTTACGCAGCAAAAAATATGGATGTTGTATATGGACATGATGGAAGCAATGATTATTTGTTAGTATAAAAAAGTATGAAGATGTATAGTGAATGGTGTTGGAGTAAACTTGTTTTAACTCTTTCCTTATCTTATGCCTTTAATTTCTTCATTACTCTTTTTCTGTGCTCTGCACACTATTTACTTTGAAAGAGAAAAGCATGATAGATATGTTTTAGGAAGTGCAGCAGAGCCTCCTGCTGGCCAGAAAATCTGTGAGAAATGAAAACACTCCAAGTAGATATAAGTCTAATTATAAAATGCTTGGCAAACAAAACATTTTCCCTCAATTTGCTGATCAACTTACTTTTAGTTTCAAAAATCAAGAACTAAGCATAGGTGCAGTGAAGCAGCTAAGTAATTTTAAGCATTGGATATAATTATCTTACATAGCCAGAAAGAACGTTATTATAAGCACAACCAGTCTGAGTGGTCAATGCCATTCTCTTGCAAGCTTGTGTAAAGCATTTGGGTCTGTTTGCCATTGCCCACATTATCAACTCTTTGGATGGTCATTTGGGGTCCTCTCGAAAATGGACCTAGTTTACTATTATACAAGTAAAAACAAAATAAAACTCTTGCTTTGGACAATGGGCTTGAACATTTCACCCCTAATATTCACCATATATGGCATCTCAATCAAAGAAAATTTCCTCCTAATAATGGCCTAAACCTTTTTCAAGGGTTTTATTTAGAAATTATGTATTTTATTTAGAAAATATGTAAGGTAACTTTAACTTACTTTTTTTTTTTTTAATCTGCACTCAATTGTTACCGATTCTGCGGCGACTGCCTGGACAAGTCCCTGCAGTTTTCAAGGCAAGGTGTTTTGGAAATGGTTTGGCATTGCCTCCTTCCTAGAGCAGAGCCCAGCTGGCGAGCGCAGGAGGTGGGGTTTCCGTTGCTTCGCGCCTTTTTCGGGTGTGCGCAGCTTCCACGTTACCGGCAACTGCTCCTGTCTCCTTTGCAAGGCACCGCCAGCATTTTTCCTCCCACCAGGGTGAAAGTACCCATTTATCTACTCATGTAAGTTTTCGAGCTGCTGGGTTGACAGGAGCTGGGGAGGAAGCGGGCGCTCACTCTGCTGCGCGGAGCTGGGCTTGAACCACTGAAGTGTCGACCATTT